TTGTTAATATTTTTTACTTTTGTTAAGTGATTTTCTACTAGTTTTCTACTTTTGTTAAGTGATTTTCTACTTTTGTTAATATTTTTTACTTTTGTTAAGTGATTTTCTACTATTTGCTCTGTTCTTTTAAGAACATTGAGCACTCTATTTTGTAGAATACATTTTTAAAATTGTTTAAACATATATATATATATATATATATATATATATATATATATATATATATATATATATATATATATATATATATATATATATATATATATATATATATATATAGGGCCGGCGCTAGTATATTTTGGTTTTTGAGATAGCTAGCTTCCAGACATGGAGCAAACTCCAAACATAAATATATTATACTTATGTCAAATAAGGATGCTTTGCAAAAAATTGCGATAATTGGAGCTTGGAAACAACATAGCCCCAAAATTTTTTCCTAGTCTGCCCCAAACGTGAGAGCAACAAGTTGATAAAATATTTTTTGTACTATTTTTAACTAGACTAATATTCATCGATAAATTTTAAGTTTGATAGTATAATTTCTTAGTGTTCAAAAATAATAATAATATAAAATTTACAACTCCCTCAAATTGAGGGGGGGGGGGGGGGTTTAAACATTATATAGTCATAATTTTTGAAGGCTAAAGTATTTTACTATGAAACTTAAAATTTATCGATGAATATTAGTCTAGTTAAAATAAGTACAAAAAATATTTTATCAACTTGTTGCTCTCACGTTTGGGGCAGACTAGGCAAAAATTTTGGGGCTATGTTGTTTCCCAGCTCCAATTATCGCAATTTTTTGCAAAGCATCCTTATTTGACATAAGTATAAATATATATATGTTTGGAGTTTGCTCCATGTAGTGCTTTCAATACCGGTAGTACCGGTACCGGAATACCGGTATTACCGGACATTTTTAAGTACGAAATACCGGTATTGGTTTGGCTCAATACCGGTATTAAAAATATATGTAGAGGGCTTATGATATAGCAGGTGCTATCGCCCTCTTTACGTGAAACACTAAAGTAAATGAAATACTTAAAACTTTCAACAACGCTTCCGGTAGGAAAAAGATAGCTAGATGAGAAAAGACGTGTTTAAATTGTCTAAAACAAGTATTCTACGTACTTTATACTTAATATCTAGTTGCCAGCTCATTTCCCACTAGGTTTGGTAGGAAATGAGCTAGCAACTAGCTAGCGAACAGCTAGCATTTAAGACGTATAAAATACGTAGAATACTTGTTTTAGACGATTTAAACACGTCTTTTGTCATCTAGCTATCTTTTTCTTACCGGAAGCGTTGTTTGATCGTGACTGGAAGTTTTGAGTATTCCATTTACTTTCGTGTTTTCATTAAATAATGAAGCACCAATTTAAAATATTATCATTACGTCACTCGCTTTAATGTAGAACGCATGTTTGAATTTTGCACTAACGTAAATATGAAAAGTTTCGGTAATGTAGAAAGTGGGGCGTTTAAGTAACTGTGATCAACAGTTGTGCATTAGGCATGGGATTCAACTAGGTATTCAAGATATTTTGTAAAAAAAAATCGTCAATTTCTGCAAAAAAAACTTGAAAGTAATATGCAAAAACAGAGAAAGTGACGAGGAAATACTGATGACACAAACATAACCAATAATGATGAAGACTTTTCCGGCGGGTTTCAAATTGTAATGAGTGAAGAGAATGACTCTATTGAACTGACTGATGATTTGCAGCCGTTAATCAAAAAGGTGCGCACCGTTGTGAAATTTTTATTTCGCCGTTCTCCGACAAAAAATGATCAAAATTTAAAAACGCACGTTAGAAAAATTTGATAAAGATATTCCACTAATACTTGGGTCCAAAACTAGCTGGGTTAGCTTGCACACAGTACTCGAACGTTTTGTATAATTAAAAAAATGCATTCACGAGTCACTTTTTGCCCTTGAGTCCAAAGTTGAGGTAACTAATAATGAGTCCGATGCAATATTAGCTGTTAACTTATGTCTTGCGCCAGTAAAACTGGCTGTGGAAGCATTGTGCCAAAATCATGCAACTCTGTTGTGTGCCGATACAACATTTTCATGATAGATAACCTTTGAGAAATCGATTTAGCTGTAAAGTTATGTTGGTGCAACAATTCAATGAGCAACGTACTCTTTTTCCAGCATACAACATTTTTTGCACAAGGGACATCAACGTTACAAGAATTTGGATCTAGCTCTATCTTTGAGCACCATAGCAAATTAGCCATTGTAAATACCATTACTCGACTGAAAGATCGGATCAATCAGAAAGGGTATAGTCCTCTCCCTTTCACCAGCGTTTTTTCCGATAGTGATTCTGTGGACAACGTTGTAAACTTGTCATTGAAAAAAAAGCTTGACTTTGCAATTTTGAAAAATAAGAAATGTAACAACAAGGGAAAATTGAATGTTTCGAATAATTCATCAAAAATTATATGTATTGAAATAGGAATTTTTGAAGAAGGAGGAAATCGTTGTATATATTTGCAAAATTCCTACCATTACTTGAAAACTGTGAAGCCAACAAAATTAGATGATCTTTTGAAGATGATGAACGCCCTATGTTTTTAACGGGCTCATTTTACAAAGCAGAAAAAAGCGAAAAATGAAAAAGTCAGTAGTTTTGGTATAAAATAAATAAGCTGATTGAATCAATAAAATTTTTACTATTAACTTGAGATTTTATTTAGATTATGATAAATTTAAAAATAAAGTTTAATAACGGTTTTATACCGGTATTACCGGTATTGTAATTATTTAGTACCGATATACCGGTATTGAAAAATGGTATCGGTATTGGAAGCACTAGCTCCATGTCTGGAAGTTAGCTATCTCAATAACCAAAAAATACTAGCGCCGGCCCTGTATATATATATATATATATATATATATATATATATATATATATATATATATATATATATATATATATATATATATATATATATATATATATATATATATATATATATATATATATATATATATATATATATATATATATATATGTATATATATATATATATATATATATATATATATATATATATATATATATATATATATATATATATATATATATATATATATATATATATATATATATATATATATATATGTCAGTAGCGTAGCGAAGGGCCCGCAGGGCCCGCAGCCGCGGGGAGGCCCAGAGTTATTAGGGGCCCAAGGCAACAAAGAAAAAATTAAAAAAAAGTGTCAGTACAATAAATAACATGCGCATATCATTAGTTTGTGTTTTAGAATACAATTTTTTATTTTCATGTATAACTTATTTGTCTAGAAGGAAGGAAAAGGCAAGGTGGGAGGGGGGGGGGTAGGGAATAAAAAAGAAGTAATTTAGGGGCCCTGATTAAAATTTTTTTTTGGGGGGGGGGGGGGGCAATTTTTTGTCGCTACGCTGCTGATATATGTATATATATATATATATATATATATATATATATATATATATATATATATATATATATATATATATATATATATATATATATATATATAAGTTAAAATATCATAGTAGTTTAATAAAAATATTGTAAACATAACTACCAAAATTAAAAAATTTCTACAACATATTTAAAAAAAAAGCCAAAATAAACCCCAATAGCGATTGTACATAAAAAATTTTTAATTTTGGTGATAACTCCGTCGAAGATACGTTGTGATATGCGTAAGTGTTGATCGCACGGCAGAATTTCCATTAAATCTCACAATAATGCAAGTGAAAAAAGTACACTAATACGATTTAATTGATATGAATAAAGTAAAAGTATATATATATATTATAAAATAAAGTAAAAGTAATATATATTATAAAAAAAGTTTTGTTAAAACAAAACAAAAAACAATTGTTAAAGAAACTTTTTTCAGTCACTGGCATATTTGTTATGTGAATATTGTTATATATGCGTATATTGTTATTAGAAAAAATATAAAGTTTTATTAAAATAATAGTAAAAAAATACTTTTAATTTTTTAATTAAATTTTCTTACTAATAAATTTTACATTAAGAAAAAAATTGTTTGCTCTGTTTTTAAGATATGTATCTGTGTTATACACATAGGTTTTAAACATAACGTTTTTGAAGTTTATTAATTATTCTATTTAGATAAGTTTGAAATAATGATAAACTTTATCATTACTACATAATTATTTAGTTATATTAATAATATAACTAAATAATTGTGTAATGACGATAAAGTTCATCATTAATGTAAACTAATATTATATGTGAAAATTTTTTTTTGTAACTTGCATAATTTTTACTTTATTAGTTAAAAACAATGTCTAATATTCAATTTCAGGTAAATAAAAATAAAAGCTCAATCCTAAAATTTTTTCGGTTTGTTTCTACTTGTGTAAGGGTAGAATTCCTACCCTCACACAACCCTTACACACACCCTTGTTGACCTATTGATTCAATCCTACTAGGATTGAATCAATAGGTCAACATTTATATATATATATATATATATATATATATATATATATATATTATATATATATATATATATATATATATATATATATATATATATATATATATATATATATATATATATATATAATAATATATATATAATAATATATATATATATATATATATATATATATTATATATATATATATATATATATATATATATATATATATATATATATATATATATATAAATTAAAGGTAAAAAACCTTTATACCTACAAATTATAAATATCCTTTAATATAAAGATAAATAAATATATATATATATATATATATATATATATATATATATATATATATATATATATATATATATATATATATATATATATATATATATATATATATATATATATATATATATATATATATATATGAATATATATATAGATATTTATATTAAAGAATATTTATAATTTGTAGGTATAAAGGTTTGTTATCTATAATTTTTATTTGATAATAATGTTCTTTTGTAATTGTTATAGTATTTATTTTAAAAACAGAATAGTATATGAAGCAACAATATAACAAGATGGTTTTGAGACAAGTTCTCATAATATTTTCTTTTTGTGTTACTGGTTCTTATCTAAGTGAGAAGTATATATACTTTGGTAGACATGATAAAAGTGATAACGAAAATTTTTTGACAATTAATGTACAACATAATAGAGTAAAAAGATCTACTTTAAATGAAGATGCAAAGAAAAAAATTCAAAGCAACAAAGTAAGTTGACAACTAAATAGTTTATATTACATTAGTTTACTCCTGATGCATTAGTTTTTATCGGTTACTTTACTATCATGTTATGTAAGTTACTTATTGTAGTGAATTGCTCAGGTTTTCTTTTTTCTAAAACATTAGGCGAGTTTTAGTAAAACTTTTTATATACTTATGAATAATTATTCAATATTTTAATTTTAACTTTTTACTTTACTTTTTTTCTAATTAACATTAAAAGTTTTCTTTTGATGCAACTTTAAAGCTTTTTCACATTACACCTGAAGTCTAAATGTCTTCTGGAATTTATTATTGCATTGGTTTTCATAGTTTTATATTAAAATATATTTTATTACTTTGTTCTATTTTAATCTTTTATTGTTTTTCTTTGTAATTTTTGTTACTTTATTCAAAAATTTTAGTATGTGTTAAAAGATGAAAAAAACTTTGATTTCCAATTATTTTGGCTTGGTGAAGATTCAGAGGTAACAAAATATATTTAAAATGTATTAATACAATTAATATAATACATAAATATAATTATATTTGAAAATAAATGGCAATATATATTACCTGATTTTAAAATAATTTTAGTTTAAAAAAAATTAATTTTGATAATTTATGAATATATTAATTATCATCTGTTTACTGTACTGTACTATTTTTAGTAGCTATGTTACCTTTGTCATTTAACATCCTAGTTTTGTTTTAGAGTAGAATTAGAGAATGAAATTCTGAAAATGCTAATAAAAATAAATATATATATATTTTTTAATTTATAGAATTAAATTAAATTTTATGATTTAAAACTGCCCAGCTCTTAAAACTTCAAAACCTCTAAATTAGGAACAAACCGTTAAATTTGAAAATTAAATTTTGAAATTAAATTTAAAAACTTTTTGTTGTTTTTATTTATTTATAATTATCAGTTTATTTTTAACTCTATAGGGCAATTCCAAAAAATCATGCGCGGAAACTTGTACATGTTTTGTCTTTTATTTTCTTAAAAATAAAACTGGCATTCTCCAGTTTACTCTTTAATTCTAATCTATATAAATATTGTATAAACAAAAAATGGTATACATTAGCAATGTTAACAAAGATCGGATAATGACAAATTTGCACGAAAGTGCTAAGTGCTAAAAGTACTTAAGTCTCAAAAATAAATGGTTTGAGAAAATCTACTTTGATCAGAGATATAGCACTTTAAAGTAAGGATTTAAAATGGCTGATCAAAGTAGATTTTCTCAAAACATTTTCTTTGTGACTTTTTAGTACTTTTATATTTCATAGCAAAAGTATTGTCCTCTCTAGGTCCTCTCTTTTTTTATCTTGTTCTATTAAGTTATCCAAATAGCCCTCTCCAAATGCATGCTAAAATAAGATATAATTAGTGGGCAATTAATGCAGTATTAATACATTCATTACATCATATCAGTAAAGATTTAAAATAATTCAAAGATGAAATTTGATATATGTATTCATATAATATGTATAAATCTTTAAAAAGTCAGAGTTCTTGTTCACTTTGTTTATGTAAAATGATAACCAAGTCAAAACGCATGTCTAGATCAAAGAAACTAATAAAAAAATAAGTTTGAGTTAATTTTTTTTTCAATAAATTTCAGTAGCAAATATATAGAGAAAAAAATATCTTTTTTATTTTGTCAAAGGTTATTATTGTTTTTGTTTTAGTCAAAGGTTGCTCCTTTATTTTTTTAACATTGCTATAATAACAATTACCTCCTCGTGATTATTTATTGTCTTTTTTTTTTTTTATTCTTATTTAATATTTTAATTTAATTTTCTGTGAATTATTTTATTTTATGTACAAAAAAGTTTATAAAAATTTTTTTTATAACATATTAAATTAATCTAAAAAAATATTACTGACATAACTCAATACTGATGTTTTTTGTCTTACTTGTGTTGGTTGATATTTTTTGTCTTACTTGTCAAAAATTGTGACTCCTATATGTCCTTGATTCAGGCAAACGTGGAAGCTTTTATTCATTTCCTTTGGTTTTATGTTGTTGTTTTTTTAAACATCTTCGCCTCCAGAAAGGCTGCAAGCAACCACTAATTAATGTTGGAAGTTACTGGAAGAGAAAAGATGAAGATTGTAGAGCAAGATAACGATTGACAAACCACTTAAAAGATTAAATATTTATATACATCAGGAAAGCAAGATGAGGAAGGAAATTCCAAAGAACTAATGTTCGAGGAAAAAAACTAGACGAATAAGAGTTTTTGGAGCACTTAGGAACAGTAACAGAAAAAGAATGAAACTTAATTGTATGACGAGTAAGACGAGAGTGAATTTTAGAGCAGTGCCCATTATACAGGCTTGGTCGGGAAGCGGGTGCGATTGCACTTAATAACTGACCACGAAAATAATATTTAGTTGGGAAAAACCGGCCAGATTTTTTAGTTGTTTTGAGATCATTCAAGTTTATGTATGTCTCCTTATTTGTCCGCAAAATAATAATTTATTATTTTATCATAAATTTTAAAATATTTTGTTTTAGGGACATACATGGAAACATACATAAACTCAAAAGTTCTCAAACATCTTTGTGCAGAAAAATAAAAATAATATTCCCGAACACAAAAAAACCTGCCAAATCTACGAACAACTAATTCTATTGGTTCAAAAATACTAACAGAAATTTCTAGAGTATTCTAAAAATACTAACCGAATGTTTTAGAGTATTCTGTTAAAATATTTTAAAAAATTCTGTTATTTGAGTTTTGTTATATTTTCGTTGAGATTTCTAACATAAATTGTTTTTCGAATATACTATCAAATGCACTATTACTTTAATTCTCGGAGCCACATCTACAAAGCTATAAATGTTTTAAACTAACATTATTTGTTTACAAAAACAAATGTTTTAAATTTATATTTCTTAACTTGTCAGCATTTTGTAAACATAATATAGATTTTATTAGTATATTCTTATTTTTTATATAAAAGGGATGTATTTTTTATGTATGTAACGTATTTTTATGTATGTTATGTATTTTTATGTATATATTTTTTATGCATGTAATTTTATGTATGTTTATTTTATTCAAATGTAATCTTTTTTGTTTACAAAAGCAATTTGTGCAATTGATTTTGTAAACAAAAATACTTTCAATAATAACTGCGTTTTTTAATGAAATTATTAATAATCATCCAAGTTAATACAAATAATTTTAACCACTAATCCATTTTCCTCAGTATACCAATAACTGATTCTTTCCCCCAAGAAAGAAAAGTTTTTAAGTTCTTAGAAATTGGTTTACTAACTTCAATTATTTTTTGCTTCAGCCATTCTTACAAACTCGTTATACTTAAACTTAAAGTTACTTTTTTCAGTTTTAAATACTAATTAAAATTATAATGCCCACTCACTAAACATCATCAACGGTATTGTGAAGCAGTTCCGCTCCTCCTCACAAAGAAATTTAACGTTTTTAGTTAATTTCTAGCTAATTGAATTTCTACAGTAACTCATTGATTTAATTAATTCATTTGTTCATCTTACTAAGAAGAATTGTTTCGAATGTGTTAAACTTTTCAAACTATGCTTAAACATAAAATGGTTGTTAAAAATTTTTTTTTATTCATAAATAAATGATCTAGCGTTAGTTTTATTAGTTTAATCTTGTTGGACTTTTCAGGGCCGGGGGTGGCATTATTTTAGTTACCTTTTTTATGTGCCATAGCGTAAAAATGACTAAAAAAATTACCGAATGGTCCTCTTGACTCTTTTGCAGCCCCTAATATTGTGAGTACTGGGGCTAAAGCCCTTCTTTAAGACAAATATTTAAATAAAAATTATATATACTCTTTGATAGATCGAAGAACCTTTGTTTCCTTATTAAACAATCATTAATAGTAAGTTGTTAATTTATATAAAAAATGTCGCTTAATTTAAAAAAAATAATTATAAAAGAGCAACGTTTCAAAAATGTTTGCTCTAATCGTATTTATTTTGCTTAATGTTTTTTCGCGTTAGAAGCTATTTTTCTTTTTTTAACTGTCTCTCATCGGTTCAGTTAACCTTACTGCGCTTTTTTGTGTGTTTTTGAAATGTTCTCAAAACAACTAAAAAATCTGGCATGTTTTTCGCAACTAAATATTATTTTCGTGGTCAATTATCGAGTGCGATCGCACTCCTGACCAAGCCTGTATGTATATATATATATATATATATATATATATATATATATATATATTATATATATATATATATATATATATATACAGGGTTCGTACTGTACCTGGAAAACCTGGAAAACCTGAAAAATCAGCCAAATTTGGATAAAGTCATGGAAAACCTGGAAAAGTCAGGGAAATTTTTTTTTCTAGGTAGTCAGGGAAAAGTCAGGGAATTCTGATTGAGAAACTACTCGTTTTACAAATAAGCTATTATGTTTCTGTTGATGCTTCCCATTTATTTTGACAATTAAAAAATACCCTATAGTGTTTCACACCTTTACCACACATATAATATTTTATTTTTAAAAATTTAACCACGGCTTTTTAACTTTTTTAAAACTTGAATATTTTTAAATGTATTTTAATAGGCAAAACGCTCTTATTACTAACAATTGTTTTAAAATATTAATCAATAAAAATATTTTATTTAAATTGTCTATGGTTATTATTTTATTTTTACAATAATAGTGTATGTTTCTTTTTTTTATTTATTATTAAAAAAATAATTCCTTTTTTTTATTTATTATAAAAAAGCTAATTTTTTATGATCAATTTCAATCGTTTAAAACTATTTCTGTAATTTATTCTCTAAACAACAGCATCTTTAACTTTAAACATTTTTGTGTCTTTAAAGCGAAAAACTTCTTTTTTTATTTTAAGTTACATAAGTTACAGAAATTTTCAAAGATTTTCAACTTTGTTGAAAACTTTTGAAAGTTTTTATTAAAAAAGTAATGGTTTCTATAAGCATTACAATGACTATTAGATTAAAATCCTTGTGAAAATGAATTTTGAAAATTAAAAAAAGGTTTTTAAAGTTAATACAATGAAATTTGTTACAGTGCCCTATGTTATAAATATAAATCATTTTGAAATATTTTGTTTCCATTTTTAGAATTAAAATAATGAATAAAATAGAAAAAAAAGCTTATTTTAAAGAAGAATGGTTAAATAAAGACATTTACCCTAATTTTGACTCTTGGCTAATGAAAGGAAAAAATAACACCCAGGCAAGATGCAAATTATGCAATAAAATAATTGAACTTTCAAACATGGGTATTCAAGCAATAAAAAGTCACGAGAAAGGAAAAAAACATGTTTCAGTTGCAAGCAATTTCTCTTGATTTTTTAAATCATCTGGCTCTAAAAATACTAATTCACCTAATTCAGTAGAAGAGTCTAATTTAAAGACAACTGATAGTTTCTCAACAGGACAAATGAAGCAGCAATCTTTAGAACTCATTGTATCAAGTTCTAATAAAATCTGTGCAGAAATTATGTGGGCATTGCATTGTTGCTTAAATAGAGTTTCTAACAATTCAAACAAAAATGTGACAAATTTGTTTCAAGCAATGTTTCCTGACAGTGAGATTGCTAAATCTTTACAAATGGGACCAAATAAAGTTGGATATAGCATCACTCATGGTCTTGGGCCTTATTTTAAAGGTTTACTTAAACAACGAATGAGCCTGTCTCCTTGGCTTGTCGTATCCTTTGATGAATCCCTCAACAAAAAAACTTAAACTTGTCAAATGGATTTACTCATCCGGTATTGGAATGAGGAAAAAATGCAAGTTGAAGTGAGGTATTGGGATTCCTCATTTATGGGACATAGTACTAGTCTTGATTTGGTAAATCATTTTAATGAAAATATAAGTGATATTAATATCAGCAAAATTGTTCAGGTCTCTATGGATGGACCCAGTGTCAACTTGAAATTTCACAGAGACATTCAAAGCAAACGTGAAGAGCACGAATTATCTAAACTTATTGACATAGGCTGCTGTTCCCTACACATAGTTCATGGTGCTTTCAAAACAGGAGTAGAATCAACTGATTGGGAACTTAAAAAGACATTTAAAAGCTGCTTTACCTTATTTCATGATTCTCCTTCCAGAAGAAGTGACTTTATCAGTATCACTGAAGGTTCTGTGTTCCCGCTTTCATTTTGCGCAACCAGATGGGTTGAAGACAAAAAGGTAGCGGATAGATTAATTAGTATTTGGCCATCTATTATAAAAATTGTTAATTATTGGGAGTCTCTGCCTAAAAGTAAACGACCATCTTGCAAATCATATAAGTTTGTTGTAAATGCTGTTAAAAAAGAACTTTCTCTTGTAAAATTCCAGTTTTTTAGCTACCTGGCGAGCATGTTTGAACCGTTTCTGAAGCTCTATCAGACAGATGCTCCAATGTTGCCTCACATGAATGGTGATCTTGTGCAGTTGATTAAGAGTATTCTTAGGATGTTTATTAAATCTGAAACTATTGAGGTTACCTCAAAACTTACCAAAATTGATCTGCAAAATAAAGAGATCCATTTGAAACCCAGTGAAATTGATATTGGGTTTGCTGCTGAATTATCACTGTCAAAGCTCAGAAAAAATGATGCATTTATTTTGAAGGATATGAAAAAATTTAAAATTCAATGCATGCACATTTTAATTTCAGCTGCTGAAAAGTTATTTAAAAGATGTCCCCTTGATTCTGTGATTGTTAACACAAGTACTTGTTTGCTTCCAAATTTTTATGCTCAGATCACACCTGAAAAAAATAGGAATCAAATGAAAATATTGCTGCATCATCTTATTTCACTTGGAATATTAACTGCTTCTTATTCTGACAAAGTTATCAGCCAGTTCTCAAAGTTTATTTCATCAGAATTTGCTCTGAATCAGGATGTTTTCATTAGTTATGATCGAAATAATAATTGTCTTGATGATTTTTACTTCAAAAACATTGACATAAAAAAGTATCCAGAGTTGTCATCTGTCATTAAGTTGGTTTTGACTCTGAGTCATGGACAGGCATCAGTTGAACGGGGGTTTAGTGTCAATAAGGATGTGGTTACCGATAATATATCAACAGATGGTATTGTTGGACGGCGTCTTGTGCGTGATTTCATGCTTACCAACAACCTCAACCCCCACTCTGTCCAGATTACATCAGAAATGAAAGTTGCCTTTAAATCTGCCCATCAAAAATACCAGATCATGCTTGAGGAAGAGAAGTCAAAGAATAAAAAACATGCTATGTTAGATCAGAAAGCCATTATTTTGTCTGAAATTGAAGAGCTAAAATCTAAAATGGGTTTCCTTACAAAAACTTCATTGATGCTAGAAAAAGAGTTTGTCTTAACTGTGGAACAAGTGGAAAAAGAAAACAATTTATCATTGGTCAGCAAAGCGAATGCTTTAAAAAGGAAAAGCGAGGAGAAAATGAAAGACGTAGCTAAGTTGCAGGAAACATTATTGATATTAGAAGAGAAAAGAAAGAAGCTGAATTAACAATAGTTGCTTTTTGACAATTTGTTTGTTTATATTAAATATTATTTATGTTGACATTTATGCAAATATGGCTGATTAAAAAACTTTAATTATATTTTCAATATAAGATTTTGCTTAAAAAATATATGCAATTTAAAATTAATTAAAAGTTTTTTTTTTAATGTTTCTAAGCATGTTTGGTTATACTGTGCTATTTTTATCTTAAGGTATTATTGAATTAGCGAAGGTACAGCTACAAATAGTGATAAAAAACAACTAACCCAAAGTAGTCTCTGTTATAGACCAAATATTACTGAAAATGTTGAAAGATATCTTCATAGACATTTTAGTTTATTTTTGTGTTAGTGAAAAATAATTATATATAAAATATTTTATGTGCATAATATTTAGATTTTCTTGAAGATCATCTGAAACTAAATTTTATGTGCATAATATTTAGATTTTTTAAGAAGCTCACCTGTTGTTTATTCTTAGTCATCCTTAATAATATGCATAATAAAATCTACACTAACATCCAACTTAACTAATAGCTAAGTTTTATAAGTTTTGTCATTCTAAGCATGTACATTTTAGCATTTTCATTACAGTAGTAATTTTTAACATTTTATAAAAACCATTGCAAATGTTAAAAATGGTCAGGGAAATTCATCTAATTTTTCAAAAAAGTCAGGGAAAAGTCAGGGAAATGTTTATAAATATGTGGCTACGAACCCTGTATATATATATATATATATATATATATATATATATATATATATATATATATATATATATATATATATATATATATATATATATACACATATATATATATATATCAGGCCTTGCGATAAAGCGTCGGGCGATGTGAATTTTACGTCGTCCAAGAGCGATTTTGCGTGTAGCTAGGGCTATTTGCGTCGAGCAAAAAATTTTTTGTTTGAGTATATTTAAAGATATTTTTGAGCGGAATTTTAATGAAGTAATTTACGATTATTTTAACATTTAATAAAGTATTTTAAAAACCGCACGTAGTTGAAATAAAGGTTCGAATTAAAAAAAAATTAAATATGCTCATTATTAGAAGAAGAAGAAAAAGAAAAAATTCAGATTAAAAAAAAAATTATAAATCTTTTAAGCTAACATTTTAATAAAATTATTCAGCAATAGCAAAGTTGTCGATAAAATTGAACAAAAATACTTTCTTTTAGTTTTAGATTTTAAACTTAAATAATTATTTTACGGGGGTTTGTTAGGTTTTAAAAAAAAGATTTAAAAATATTTATTAACTGTTAGACGTATTTAAAGTATTTAAGAGTAATTTCGAGGAAACATTTTAAAAATTGGTGAGCGCAAATAAAAAAAAAAAAAAGGATTAATATTAAAACGTATTCTACTTGATTCAATAAAAAAGTACAGTTATTAAAATTTTTGTAAAAAGTAACTCAAAAAAATTACTTAAATAATAACGATCGCTTTTATGTTAAAAGTTACCGAAACTCAACGAGGCGTGCTCAAGAACAGCTGCTGAAACAGGGTTCATGGCACTCAGGGAAAACCTGGAAAACCAGGGAAAAGTTTTAAAAATTTAGAAAATCAGGGAATACCTGGAAAAGTCAGGGAATATTTGTTAAAAATCTGTAAAATCAGGGAAAACTCAGGGAATTTTGTTCAGTATTATATTTAGCTTGAAGTTATTTTGCAAAATACACATTTTGAGTGTTTATTGTTGTTGAAAATTGCTCACTAAAGTGTTTTTTTAACTTTTATGTTATATAGTAACTATATGTTTAGCTAAATGTATAAATAAATATAATAATATAAGACATGACTTTAGAAAAGACTTATTTTCAAGAGGATTGGTTACAACAAGATATTTATAAAGACTGGTTAGTTCCCAACGCACATGCAAAAACTAAAGCTTATTGCAAAAAATGTAAAAAATCATTTGAATTGTCCAATATGGGTATTCAGGCTGTTAAAAGTCATGCAGCAGGTATTTACATTAACTTTTTTAACGTGAGAGTGAGAATTAAAAAAAAAAATGTTGCTTAATTGATTCATTATTTTATATTTTGATATCAGTTTCAAACACATTGTAATCAACTTTTGATTGCAACCTGTTTCAGTTGTTTTCCTTGTTGGTTGGTTGCTAATATTGTAATTTCAAACTTTGCAAGCTAAACAGATTGAGAAAAAAGATAAAAAATTTTAGACATTTTAAATGTTTCATTATTTATTTATCTTGTTTTAGGTAAGAAGCATCAGTCTGCTACAAAGCCTGTTAGTTGTTTCTTTATTAATGGAAAAGAGTTGCATGCTGAACCACTTGGAAGTGAGGAAAAAATATCCACATTTTTCACCAAAAAACAAGCAACTATTGTCTCTTTAATTAAATCATCGTTATCAACTAATGCTGAGATCATATGGGCCCTGAAATCTACAATGAGCTGCTACTCTAATAACTCATGTGCAAAGTTAAATGACACTTTTAAAAAGATGTTTCCTGATAGCAAGATAGCAGAAGATTTCACTATGAGCACCTCAAAAGTATCATACATTGTTAACCATGGACTAGCCCCATACTTCAAGACACTTTTAAAAGAAGAAATCACAAAGTCTGATTGTTACATTGTATCTTTTGATGAGAGTTTAAACGACATAACCCAAACTTGTCAGATGGATCTACTTGTTCGGTATTGGGATGGCAATGACAAAGTTAAAGTGAGATATTGGACATCAGCATTTCTTGGTCATTCTGCAGCTTCTGACCTTCTTACACATTTCAATGAAAACTTATCAAGATTTGATTTAAGTAAAATGTATCAAGTATCCATGGATGGACCCTCTACGAATCTGAAATTTCTAGATGATCTTAATAAACACAGAAAGGACAACGAGATGCCACAACTTATAAATATTGGAAGTTGCTCTTTGCATGTAATCCATGGTGCTTTTAAAACAGCTATCGAATCAACAGCATGGAATATTAAAGAAATTTTAAAAGGGTGTTGGCAAATTCTTCATGATAGCCCAGCTAGACGTCAAGATTATGAAACAGTCACAGGTGCAACAAAATACCCTCTTTTTTTTTGCGGAACAAGATGGGTTGAAAGTAAATCTGTTGCAGATCGTTGCATTGAAATCTGGCCTAATATATGTAAGTTGATTGAGTTTTGGGAAAAGTTACCATCTTTGAAACAACCTAAATCAAAAAGCTTGAAAAGTTTATTGATTGAAAAGTTCACGGACCGAACTCCACTAGGATCTATCATTATACGCAACTCTCAGGTTCTTAATCCAAATGCAATGGTAGTAATGACTCAAGAAGATGCTGAGAAGAAGTATAAATCTTTATTGACCCACTTGATTAGCTTGAAATATGTTTCACCAATCTTTTCCGATAAAGCTATAAATCAATTTGCAGATTTCTTTAGAGAATCAAGAGTTTATCAAGACATCTTTCATGAGTTCAATCGAGAAAGAGATAGCTTAGATGACTTCTATTTTAAAAAATTTAACCTAAATAAATATAAAGAATTTGCATTGACTGTTAAAATATTATTAACACTAAGCCATGGACAAGCCTCAGTTGAGAGAGGTTTTAGTATAAATGCCACAGTACTAGAACAGAATTTAAATGAAAAATCAATAACTGCAAGACGTTTAGTCAAAGATCATATGCTATCAAATAATCTTCAGCCACATAGTATTGAAATTACTAGCAAAATGATCATTAGCGTAAAATCGGCACACGAAAGATATAGAAGCTACCTAAATTCAATCGCAGATACTAACAAAAAAGAAGCAAGTCAATTGGCAAAAAAAGTTGTTAGCGATGAAATAAAAGATGTTGAAACAAGGCGAGATCAACTGAAGAAAACCAGTGAAATGTTGCAGTTTGATTTTGTAAAATTTGTGGAGGAAGCAGAGGAGAAGCAAGATCTAGGGTTAATTTCTAAAGCTAATGCGATGAAACGAAAAGCAAATGAAAAAAATAAAGAAATAAAGAAATTAGAGCTAGCACTTTGCATCTTAGAGCAAAAAAGAAAAATGCTAAAATAATATATTCGTTCTCACATGAAGTTTATATTTTTTAACAAAACACATTAGTTTTTTCAAAGCATATATAAAATGTTATTTTTTTAATATTTCTTTTAGTTATCAGATTAATATGGCTCTGTTTCTTGTTTAAAACACCTTTAACAGATTGCTATAAATTAATTAAAGACAGTCTCTGATTTCTTAAAAAATAGTGATAAAAAGTATTTAGGGAACAAGGATTCAGTTGCAATAGTATTATATTTTTCAACATTGATAGGCAAAATATTTAGACTTTTCACCGCACAAACTCAGGGAAAAAATACTTGAAAATCAGGGAAAATCAGGGAAAACTCAGGGAAAATGGTTTTTCAAAACTGCCATGAACCCTGTGAAAAATAGAACGTCAATAGTTTTTCGAATAATTTTTAAGAATAATTTTTAAGAATAATTTTTTCGCTGAAATATTGCTTTTATACCTATAAGATTTTTATTCTAACATTTTATTTTATATTACTTGAAATAAAATTCCTTGTTAACATTAAAAATCTATTCAAAACGTTCGTTTAAGTTTTTTATTAATACGAGTGGTTGTGCTTATCAACCGCTTTATGAAAATAAATAAAAATAAATAAATATTATATAAAATTGCTTGTAAAAATATTAGCTATTGCACAGTTTTTAATCGTACAATATTAAAATTTCCAGTTTATTACTCGCTGACTTTTTAAAAAGAAAAAATAATTAT